TCCCTCCGGGAAAGCTTTTGGCCCATTTTGGCAAAGATACTCTCCTCCTCCTCACTCTGTGACAGCGACAGGACTGAGCTGCCCACTGCCCCTGCCCACTGCTCGCTGGTGGCTTCCAGCCAGCTGGGCAAGGAGCTGTGGGACCGGGAGTTGGAGTTGGCTTTGTCCTTGTCGCTGTCGCTGTCTGTCGCTGTCGGCCGCTATCGCTGTCGGCGTCAGGCGCAGACAGAGCCAGGGAGCTGCTTCCTCCTCAGAGAGCGGCTCTCCTGGGAATGAGCACCCCAGGGCTCCGCGCCCCTTGGAGACCCTCAGCCCTCGCGGAGCTCCCTGATGTCACAAGGGTCTCTGGCCACCACCACGTCCCACATCACAAAGGGCCATGGCACCATGTGCCGTGTCACAAAGGGCCACCCCGGAACCCCAACAGCAGCGGAGCAGACGTGAACCTGTTGCAGTTTGTGTTTATTTCATTAAGTTATTGTTAAGTGGTACATTCTGTTGCCTGCCCATGTTTTCCCCAAGTTGTTTTTTTCCCTATGTTGTACACTCCCTTTGAAGGTGTCCCTCAAGTTATTCCCCTCCCTTGGTCCCAGTCCCTTCCCTGCCTGTCCAGGTAACCCTGCCCCTTTTTCCTGAATGTTCCCTGCCACTCAGACCCTGGAGCAGCCCCTGATTGAAACCCTCACTTGGAAATCCCCTAATCCAGGACTGGCCCCTGTGCCTTTCCCTCTGCTCCCCCGATCCTGATTGTCCCACAGTGTTGCTGTAATCCCCTCACTCCTGCCCTGAGGATTCCCTGTTGCTTCGCTGTTAGTACCCACTGCCTGACTTAGATCTGAGCAAAACCCCTTGCAAACGAGGGTGAGGGGCTCTTCTTTATCCTGCTCTCTCCACCTTGAATAAGCTTTCCCTATGGAAGCTCAAGGCAAAGCGGCTCCTCCTTCCTCCTTGGCCTGCTCCCTGCCGTGGCTGTACCAGCGTGCAGGGCAGAGCTCGCAGCTCTCCAGGTTGAGCTGTGGGCAAAGCCCAGTCCCCAGCTGTTCCCCAGTCCCATCGTGGCTGCCGGAGCGCACAGAGCCAGCCCGGGTTGCGGGGGGCTTGGGCAGGAGCTGGCTGGGAGCAGCTCCCTGAGACAAAAATTTTGAAAAATTCAGAATTTTGGGGAACCTAATATGATAGTTAAATTCGATGTTGCTGAGTTAGCAGAAGTACATAAATAGGCTTTTCTGATCGTTAACAGTAGATGGATCTTAGAGAAGATATCCAGGATCTATTAAATCTTTGCATGTCAACTTTATGTTTGGGTAGCTCTGCTTAATGTGAAAAACTGAATATGATAAACAGATTTCAGGGACATGAAAATAGTTGCGGACTTGCCATACTTGAGGAATCCATTGAACACAGGAAAACTACAAGGGCTCATTTTTCACGTATGCATTGAAAAGGTAGAAAGGTCAGAACGAGGAGGTTTTATTCTACTTCTTCATTTTGGAGACCCCTCCCCAAAATAAACCTCCAACTCATTTCAGGGAACAAAACTATGCATGCTTAATAGCCTTTTTGCCAATTAGCATAGGAAGCAGAGCAGAGGATTTGACAGGTATATGAATACGCATTCATATTTTGTGTATTCAAGATGTATGTGCAGATCCCGGGGCCGGGCTGTGCGCCAGGACACCGAACACACGGGGTTCAGCCACTCTGGGAGCAAGAAATTAGTGTTTTAGGCTACTTGGGAGAGAAAACTGCTTTCCATGGCACTAGGCTGCTGTACATGTGGCTCAAAAGGCATAAGAAATGATAAACCATTATAAATACATCTGGATCAAATGGCATAAAAAGTTAGTTACACGCAACATCTCTGCTGACAATACATTTAATAAAAGAAAAGATATACTATTTTAAAAAATATTTTCATCTGCAATTCTTTCTCTGGTTGTTCTTGCTTTTTTAAACATGTCAATTCCTTGGTTCCTCTCATCTGCTTTATTTTGGAAACATCAAAGCACAGCTGAGCAACAACAAGGAGAAAAAGAACACATGGGTACAAGGCTTCAGAATCAAAGTGGAGCAAGTGGGGGACTCACACACTTCAGATGTGTGTGCACATGTGTAGAAAAGCACCCCTCCTTTCTGGGGCTGCATGGCAGCACACAAGGAGTAAAATCAGAGTTGCTCCTGTTCTCACAGGAAAAATGCCTCCTGTGCAAATTCGTGCTGCAACAAACTTAATGACCACGAAACAACATTGGATTCCAGAAGCTGGTAGTTGGGGTACTCTTTCTTTTTGTCTGTGTCTTATATCATAAATTCTTATTCCTATTACACTTCTTCTTCAATATATTTGAAATTTCTTACTAACTTTCTACTCTGTATTATTGAATTCCTATTCTTCTTCATCTTCATCATCTACTTAAAGTTTCAAAGACCTTGATGGTCTTTGTCGTCTTCGTCACCTTCTTAGTGCAGGTCTCCTCCATTGGCATCTCCCTATTGCTGTTTGCCAGCCCCAGCTCCCTTGGGTGTTGGTGGCCCGGTGAGAGCCGCAGCCCTGCAGGGAGGGAGGCTGTGGGAGCACTGGCGGCTGTCGGTGCCCTGAAAGTGCCACTCCTCAGTGCGTGGCCTGAGGCAGGGACAGCGGAACAGCCCCCGCAGCGCCTGCCTGGTTTCAGTTTAATCAGTCATGGTTTTCTTTCATTTCTGTGAATGAAGGGATTGACAATGTCCAAGTCACCGTCCCCACTGGAAGCAGATGAGGACAAAGGACTCCTCCGATGGGAAGCAGATGGGGATGCCAAGCTCCACCAAGGGGCACAGGACAGTTCCTCCAAAGGGCGGCAAACAGCCTCCAGGGAGCTGCTGCCTGTGTGGAGGAAGCAGCTCCCTGGATGGTTCTGCAGCAGAGGATAGTAGAGATGGAAGAAGAGCTTGACAAGGGGAAGGGGAACCCCAACTCCCCTGCTGCCCAAAGCCACCTGTGCAGCTGCCACAGTGAAGCCATCAGAGCCCCGCTCTGCCACTGCCCGTGGCCGGGGAGCCGGGCCGGGGCTGTTCCTGCAGCCCTGCCTGCCTCCAGCAGCCCTGGGCCGGGCGGGAGGGGTTCCCCCGCTGCAGCCCCAGCTGAGGCAGCAGCAGCAGCTCTGTGCTGCTCCTGACACATCCCTGCGGCAGCAGCTGCACGGGGCTGTGCAGCCACAGAGCCCAAAGCAGCGCAGCAGCAGCGCAGCAGCAGCGCAGCTCTGGGGCTCTGCTGCTGCTGCTGCTGCTGCTGCTGCTGCTGCTGCTGCTGCTGCTGCTGGGCAGCCCCACAGGGCTCAGGGCTGAGCAGCCGTGCCTGGAGCCGCTCCTGGCTCCTCCAGCCTCGGGGCTGCTCCTCTGCTGCTCCAGGGCAGGGCCTTTCTCCGGGATTGGCTTTTCTTTCTGCTGGGAGAGCTCTCACAGAACCCCAGAATCCCTGGGGCTGGCAAAGCCCTCCCAGCCCAGGGAGTCCCAGCTGGGCCCCATGCCCACCTTGTCCCCAGCCCAGAGCACTCAGTGCCACCTCCAGGGGACACCTGCAGGGATGGGCACTCCAAAGCTCCCTGGGCAGCCCCTGCCAGGGCCTGAGCCCCCTTTCCATGGGGAAATTGCTGCTGCTGTCCCAGCTGAGCCTGCCCTGGCCCAGCCTGAGGCCATTTCACCTTGTCCTGTCCCTGTTCCCTGGGAGCAGAGCCTGACCCCCCAACTGTCCCCTCCTGGCAGGGGCTACAGAAGGATTGTTCCTTTCCTGGGCCCTCTCCTCCTCTTCTCTGCTTTCCAAAACTAAAACAGAATCACTGAATTACAAATGCCACATGAATATTTGGGACTGGATGTTGGCCCATTTCTTGTGTCCACAGGGACAACCAAGTGTCTCCCTCCTCCCGTGCCCAAAATCCAACAGCAGAGAGTCCCTAGGCCAGCATTCTCTCTGTGGGAGCAGCAGGAGGGAAGTTTGAGGACTTCTGCAGCCCTGAGAGAGGGGAAGGCAGGAAATCTCCTTTCTTTCTGTCTTTTCCACACCAAAGGAGACTCCTGCAATGGGAAAAGGAATTGTTCACGGTGGAGCTGCCCCCTGGGGCTCCAGCCCACAGGAGAGGCCTGGGGCAAAGCCAGGCTCCTCATAAAACAGGAAAGCTGGACAGGACAAACACACATCAAACCAATATGGTTAATTAAACGTTCTCCGTTTATTAGTGAGAAGATGGCACTTTACACACACTTCTATATAGTTTACAGTTTACAAAGGCACTCTCATTGGCAAGCTAACATTGTTTGTCTTTGTCTTAAGGTGGATTAAACTTCTCATTATAAACCTATACTACTTCAGACCCAGACAGCCCAGTGCTTCACATCACAGCTTAATAGAATTTCTAACTGTGCCACAAACTCTTAATTTCTAACTGTGCCACACACTCTTAATTTCTCACTGCGTCACAGGCTGGAAGGCCTCACAAGGCCCGATCTGAGGCCTAGACTGGAGTAGCTCAAATCTCATTCCAGACATAAATCATGGCCTCTCTCTCTCAGAAATGCTGCAACACTGGGGGACATCAGGTGTGCTCCCACCAGCAGCTCGGCACTTCATAGCTGAAAGGGGTTTTGCTCAGATCCAAGTCAGGCGGTGGGTACTAACAGAGAAGCAACAGGGAATCCTCAGGGCAGGAGTGAGGGGATTACAGCAACACTGTGGGACAATCAGGATGGGGGGAGCAGAGGGAAAGGCACAGGGGCCAATGGGGCATCCTGGATTAGGGGATTTCCAAGTGAGGGTTTCAATCAGGGGCTGGCCCAGGGTCTGAGTGGCAGGGAACATTCAGGAAAAAGGGGCAGGGTTACCTGGACAGGCAGGGAAGGGACTGGGACCAAGGGAGGGGAATAACTTGAGGGACACCTTTAAACTGAGTGTGCAACTTAGGGAAAAAAACAACTTGGGGAAGATGTGGGGGGATAACAGAATGTACCACTTAAAAATAACTTAATGAAATAAACAGAAACTGCAACAGGTTCCTGTGTGCTCCGCTGCTGTTGGGGTTCCGGGGTGGCCCTTTGTGACACGGCACATGGTGTCACGGCCCTTTGTGATGTGGGACGTGGTGGTGGCCAGAGACCCTTGTGACATCAGGGAGCTCCGCGAGGGCTGAGGGTCTCCAAGGGGCGCGGAGCCCTGGGGTGCTCATTCCCAGGAGAGCCGCTCTCTGAGGAGGAAGCAGCTCCCTGGCTCTGTCTGCGCCTGACGCCGACAGCGATAGCGGCCGACAGCGACAGACAGCGACAGCGACAAGGACAAAGCCAACTCCAACTCCCGGTCCCACAGCTCCTTGCCCAGCTGGCTGGAAGCCACCAGCGAGCCGTGGTCAGGGGCAGTGGGCAGCTCAGTCCTGTCGCTGTCACAGATTGTGGAGGAGAGGATCTTGGCCAAAATGGGCCAAAAGCTTTCCCGGAGGGAAGATGTGGAAGAGACCCGCCAGAGAGAAGTTCCAGGAGCCCAAGAAATGTCCCGGCAGGGAACGAGGAGCAGCCAAGAGCTGTACCAAGGCCAGGTACGTGTGAGAGTTTGGGAGGTTTCCCAGTACAGAGGGGGGACACACCAAGAGCTCTATGAAGGGGAAGAAACTATCAGAGCTCAGGAGCTGTCCCAGTGGGAGGAGGACAGTGAGATGTACCAAGAGGGGTGTGAGAGGGAAGAACGAGTGACAACCCAAGAGATTTCCCAGTGGGAAATAGATGTGAGTGGGTGGCAGGAGATGGGATGGGGAGAAGACGAGAAATGCCACGAGGGCTGTCCCTGCAGAGAGATCTGAGTGTCCCAGAGGATTCCCAATGGGATGATGCCCAAGAGCGTTCCCAGAGGGAAGGTGAGAGGTACCAAGACCTCTCAGCATGGGGACAAGGTGTGCACTGCCACATGTCCCAGTGGGAAGACAGGAGAGAGCTGGAATTGTCCCAAGTCAGAGACAGCAGTGGCAGGGAGCTGTGCCAAGGAGCAGACACTGCAGCCCAAGAGCTGCCCCGGTGGGACGATGTGAGGGAGCGAAAGCTGTCCCAAAGGGAGGAAGATGTGAGCAGGCAGGAGCTGTCCCGATGGGGACACAACATCAGCTCTGAGATCTGGGACAGACCCTTGTGCCCAGCGAGGGACGAGGAGCCTCAGCCTTGTCCCCCAGAGGGGCCCAGCTCTGCCAGCCCCGTGGGCACAGAGGTGGCAGCAGAGGCAGTGCCTGCCCTAACCAGCGCCTCTCCTGCCCCACAGAGTCCCACGGAGGCCGAGCCGGCAGCTGCTGCCCCGGCTGGAGCTGCTGAGGAGGAGGAGGAGCCAGGGTGGGCAGCGGCAGAGATGGCACAGGAAGACAGCCTGGAGACCTTGACTCAGGACAGTGATTGGGATTCTGATAGTGAGGAAGAGAGCCCGGTGCCTGCCTCACACAGCACCCCCAGCCCCTCATCTGCCCCGCTGGGAGCCCAGGACCTCTGGGAGGAGCCGGAGAGGGCAGTGTTGGCGCTGGCAGGGCCAGTGCTGTCACAGCACTGGAGCCTGGAGGCCTTGGCTCCGGACAGCGACTGGGACTTTGACATTGAGGAAGAGAGCCCGGTTCCTGCCCCACACAGAACCCCCAGCCCCTTGTCTGCCCCGCTGGGAGCCCAGGACCTCTGGGAGGAGCTGGAGAGGGCAGTGTTGGCACTGGCAGGGCCAGTGCTGTCACAGCACTGGAGCCTGGAGGCCTTGGCTTCGAACAGCGACTGGTCATCCGACAGTGACAAAGAGGAAGAAGAAGTAGAGCCAGAGCTGTCCCAGGGGACAGTCTCGCTCATCCAAGAGCTGTCCCAGGAGGAGGACGATGTGAGCTCCAGCTCTGGGGAGAAGCCTGTGGGCCCAGTGAAGGAGGGGGACACCCAGCCTTCTCCCCCAGAGGGGCCCAGCTCTGCCAGCCCCGTGGGCACAGAGGTGGCAGCAGAGGCAGCCCCTGCCCTGCCCAGCGCCTCTCCTCTCCCCGGCAGTCCCACGGAGGCCGAGCCGGCAGCTGCTGCCCCGTCCGGAGCTGCTGAGGAGGCAGCAGCGGGGTCAGGGCTGGCAGTGCAGGAGAGGACGGATGACGACGACGATGATGAAATGAAATTCTGGCAATACTTGGATGACCTGGAGCCTTTCCTGGTTGGAGACCCAGAGCTGTCCCAGGAAGTGTCCTACTATGAACAATACACAGAGGAAGATCTGCCCCACGGTGTAGTCAGCAGCTCCCAAGGCCCCTCCGACTGGGAAGAATACCCTGAGCAAGTGCTGTGCGGAGGAGATGTCATCAGCTGCGAAGAGTTTTCGGACTGGGAAGAACACCTTGGCCAGAAGGTGTCCAGAGGGAATGGCAGCAGACCCTCAGGACTCTCCAGCTGGGGCGACGACAGCGACACGGGGCTCGTGCAGGAGAACTGGCCCGAGCACGTCATCTTGGCCAAGCCCTTGTGCCCCGAGGACGATGAGTGGGACGATGTGAGCCTCCTGGAGCTGCCCCCAGAAGACGGCAAACACCAGAAATGGAAAGTTTTTGTGGCAGAGGGGCTCCCAGTGCCCGTCCCTCGGGAGGCCTGGGCTGAGTGCCCGGCACAGGAGCCGTGCAGCCAAGGGCCGGCGCCTGCCCCGCACAGCCCCCCCAGCCCCTGGCCTGCCTGGCTGGGAGCCCAGGCCCTCCGCGGGCAGCCGGCTGCCCCCAGGAAACGTCCCTCCCGCTTCAGGCGGGCGCTGCGGGCGCTGCGGGGGCTGTTCCGCTGTCCCTGCCTCAGGCCACAGACTGAGGAGTAAAACGGGCACGGAAAAGGGTGAAGAGCATGAAGAGAAGGAAGGGGAAGAACAGGAAGATGAAGATGACCGCTCCTGCCAGTCCCGCTCCTCTGTGTCGGAGCAGCAGCTCTTCGGCTCGGCTCGAGGGGCTCAGAGATGGCTGCTGCAGCTCCTCCAAATCTGGGAAGAGAAAAGCCTTTGGATGGGCCAGGCAAGCCAAGCAAGCCAAGCAAAGCCCAACCAGGCAGAGCCATGAAGACCTGGGCAGTGAGGCTTGGAAAATGCCCACCCAAAGAGCCCAAAGCTCCCCCATCCCTGCCCCGCACACACCCGGCCCCGGGCTGGAAGGTGCAACAACCATTTCTTGGGCACAAAGCAGAGGCTCCTGGAACAGACTCTCAGCACAAACCCCTCCGGGACAACGGCAAAGAAGACCAAGACAAAGAAGATGAAGACAAAGACACAGAAAAAGAGGACACCGACGACTCAGCAGATGAAGATGATGAAGACAGTGAAGAAGATGACGACAAATAGGATGAAGAAGATGAAGAAGACAACAAAGAGGAAGAAGACAAAGATGAAGACAGTGAAGAAGATGACGACAAATAGGATGAAGAAGACAACAAAGAGGAAGAAGACAAAGATGAAGACTAAAAAGACAAGACATAGAATGTTGATTTAAGAATAGATAGAAGAAGTATAGTAATAAGAATTTAGAAATACTTAGAAGAAGAAGAGTACTAGGAATAGGAGTAAGAATTTCAAAATATGTAGAAGAAGAATAATAGGAATAAGAATTTTTACATATGTAGAAGAAGAAAAAGAATAGGAATAGGAATAAGAGTTTTAAAGTATGTAGACGAAGAAGAATAGGAATAGGAATAAGAATATAAAAATACATAGAAGTAGCAAACAAGAAGAATAGTAAAGTGTAGGAAGAAGATAAACCATAAGAAGAATAAGAATAGGAAAGTGAAGAGAAAATTGAAGAAATAAATAAAACTTAGAAATAATTTATTGCTATTACATATTGTATATTTCTATTACAGTTATGAAATAAAAACATTAATGAACCATATGTTGTAATCACAATGCATCATAACGCCCCCACGCTGTTCCCGTTATTGAAGAATCTGTGTGTTTGCTAACACCGTCGGTCAGGCCCCAGAGCAGAGTGCCCAGATTCCGTGTCCTGTCTCTCCGAGGTGCCGATGCGCTGTCCCAGCCCGAGCCCCGGAGCGCCCCGCGGGCAGCGCGGGCTCAGCCCCAGCGGCAGCGGGAGAGTTCCCGGCCGGGCCGGCGGGGCAGGGCTGTCGCTGCTCTCTGCAGGCAAACGGGAGGCGCAGGCTGAGCCCGGCTGGCAGAGAGCTGTGCCGGGCAGCCCTTTGCAGCAGGGCTGTGCAGGCAGCACAGCGAAGGCAGCGGAGCCCCGCTCTGCCGCTGCCCGTGGCCGGGGAGCCGGGCCGGGGCTGTTCCTGCAGCCCTGCCTGCCTCCAGCAGCCCTGGGCCGGGCGGGAGGGGTTCCCCCGCTGCAGCCCCGGCTGAGGCAGCAGCAGCAGCTCTGTGCTGCTCCTGACACATCCCTGCGGCAGCAGCTGCACGGGGCTGTGCAGCCACAGAGCCCAAAGCAGCGCAGCAGCAGCGCAGCAGCAGCGCAGCTCTGGGGCTCTGCTGCTGCTGCTGCTGCTGCTGCTGCTGCTGCTGGGCAGCCCCACAGGGCTCAGGGCTGAGCAGCCGTGCCTGGAGCCGCTCCTGGCTCCTCCAGCCTCGGGGCTGCTCCTCTGCTGCTCCAGGGCAGGGCCTTTCTCTGGGATTGGCTTTTCTTTCTGCTGGGAGAGCTCTCGCAGAACCCCAGAATCCCTGGGGCTGGAAAAGCCCTCCCAGCCCAGGGAGTCCCAGCTGGGCCCCATGCCCACCTTGTCCCCAGCCCAGAGCACTCAGTGCCACCTCCAGGGGACACCTGCAGGGATGGGCACTCCAAAGCTCCCTGGGCAGCCCCTGCCAGAGCCTGAGCCCCCTTTCCATGGGGAAATTGCTGCTGCTGTCCCAGCTGAGCCTGCCCTGGCCCAGCCTGAGGCCGTTCCCTCTCCTCCTGTCCCTGTTCCCTGGGAGCAGAGCCCGACCCCCCGGCTGTCCCCTCCTGGCAGGGGCTACAGAAGGATTGTTCCTTTCCTGGGCCCTCTCCTCCTCTTCTCTGCTTTCCACAACTAAAACGGAATCACTGAAGGATGACAAATCCCACACAAATATTTGGGACTGGATGTTGGCCCATTTCTTGTGTCCACAGGGACAACCAAGTGTCTCCCTCCTCCCGTGCCCAAAATCCAACAGCAGAGAGTCCCTAGGCCAGCATTCTCTCTGTGGGAGCAGCAGGAGGGAAGTTTGAGGACTTCTGCAGCCCTGAGAGAGGGGAAGGCAGGAAATCTCCTTTCTTTCTGTCTGTTCCACACCAAAGCAGACTCCTGCAATGGGAAAAGGAATTGTTCACGGTGGAGCTGCCCTGTAGGGCTCCAGCCCAGAGGAAAGGCCTGGGAGATATCAGGTGTGCTCCCACCTGCAGGTTGGGCTGTCCCCTGGGTCTGTCAGGGGCTGCTGGGTCAGGGCAGTCAAGCAAACAGAAACCATCCAGTCAAAGGTGAAGTGTGGCAACACTAAGGGCAGGCTCAAAGTGTTCAAACAGGCCAAATTCTTCCCAAAATACAGTACTGCATCTGTGGTATTGCTGCAAGTGTGTGACCTACACTGCTTCCCTAAATCCTCCAAATCTTTGCCATTGATGGATACCTTTTCCTTGGAGTGGACAACCGGATTTCCAGCATGCAAGACACACAAACACACACACACACACACACGTAATTTAAAAAGGAGTAAATATTGCAATACAATCATTATAAAAGGATTGGCCAATAGCAGAACTTAAAATCACACCACAAATCTCTGCTGGTTTTTGCTTTTCCAGCTTGGCTGTTGCCCATCACAGAAGCAACAAACAGAGGCATCTTCTGGTTACTTCATTCTCTTTGCCACATCCAAATAAGCATATTCAATCTCCTGGTCAGCAGGGCACGTGTTTGTAAATTCATCTCTTGCATATGCATTTTTCAAGTATCTCGAAATCCCTGTCATTTCAGGTGGGAAGTGAAAATTTCGGTATTTTTTTGCAACGACCTTTCATTAAAAGAAAAAACGGATAAAGAAGAAAAACATCATTACACATATAATCTGCAAAACCCCCAAAATCCCAAGCCTATTCTTTATGCCCATTTTTCATTTCTGCACTGTGAGTCTGGTGTTGTTGGTGACCAAGGGCAAAGAAAAGGGAAAGACATAAAAAGGAGAAAGTTGCTGAACTCCCTGTAAAGGATTTGTTTTGTGTCTATATATGCTAAAGATATGCAAAGCCATGTGGACCAGTAGAACAAACTGGAAAAGATTCAGGTTAATCAGCAAATTTAAGCCGGAATGAACAGAACAAACCTACATTAATAAACTGGCCCACACTTGGAAACTTTAATTGAAACACAAAAAAATATTAATTAAAACCCTTAATTTCAAATGATAGGGGAAGACAACTCTTGGCTGAGCCCTAATCCCAGCCTGCAGGCAGCAAGGCTGATGTGGCAGTGTGACATTCCTGCTGTGTCCTCCCCCAGACGTTCCCCTGAGTGAGGGGGTGCTGGCCCCACTGCTTCCCAAGGTTTGCCATGGGACAGGGCTCATCCCTGGCTGCTGTCTGCAATAGGATCAGCCTGGAGATGGCTGGGCAAAGTTTTCACTCGTGGAGGTGTTGGAGAGCAACTGGATCCCCTCTTCCTGTGACAGAGTGGGAGTCTGACAGGAAACTTCCTGAAGTGGCCTTGTTGTTTGAAAACAAATGGAATTCCAGTGTGGTCATTTCTCTTCCAGAGGTTTGCAGAGTGGAATCACAGAATCACTGAATGGTTTGGGTTGGAGGGACTTTAAATATCATCTTGTTCCACCCCTGCCATGGTAGGGACACCTCCACTGTGCCAGGCTGCTCCAGCCCCAGTGTCCAGCCTGGCCTTGGGCACTGCCAGGGATCCAGGGGCAGCCCCAGCTGCTCTGGGCACCCTGTGCCAGGGAGGAACTCCTTCCCAATACCCCATTTAACCCTTCTCTCCTTCAACTCAAGGCCATTCTTCCCTGTCCTTGTGAAAAATCCCTCTCCAGCCTTCTGGGCTGTGACAACAGCAGTGCCAGGCCACTGGAGCTGTTCAGGTTGTGTGGATGCTCCACAGTTCTGCAAGAGGAAATTGGGAGCCTTGCCTGGGAGGCAGTGGGTGGAGGCCACCCTGTCAGAATTGGAAATTAAACATGGGAGAGACAGAAATTGGGATGGACGATACAAGGTCACCTTCCTTGGCTGTGGCCACGTGCACTTTGCATGTGAAATGCAAAGATGAGAACGCTTCTCTGCAGCCCTGAACCCAGAACTCATTTCATCCTTGTGGCTGTGAGAAGCTCAGCCACTGCAGTCACAGCACAGCTACCAAACAGCTCTTCCAGACCTGCAGCCAGCAAAGTGAGGATCACCCTGGCTGTGCTGTAAGGAAAGGGTCCCTGGACATGCCCTCAGAACAGAGAAAGGATCCCTCTGCCATCGAGTGTTGGAGCCCAGGGCACAGGGAATATTTCTCTGCTTGTTTTGAGGAGTCCTGACCCCCAGGGCAGCCCTGCTTTTAACCTCTGTCCATGAAGAAAGCTTCCAAGACTTTGGGATAAATTGGAATCTATGAGTGTGTGAAACAGATAACAGAGAGTTTATCACAGGGTGAAAAACTTGGAGTTGTGGGTTTTTAGTATGGGGGTGGGCAGGAGACAACATTGAGAATTTGGGGCATTGTCTGATCTCCTTCCTGTTCTTCATCTGCTCCATTCCCTGCAGTGTTGGTGGCACAGAGTGATTGGTTAGAAAGAGCCACAATGCAGATGTTACATGAGCAGACAGATGATTAGTTATTGGTAGAAAGATATAAATTCATTCAAAGAGTTAATTGGACCAAATAGCTTTAAAAGACCTTGAACCTGTGTGTCTGGTGACTTTTGGTGTCTTTCTCTTCACACACTGAGATGCAGACAGCGTACTAAACTACTGATAAGAGAAAAACTAAAAACAACCTGAAGACCAAAAAAACAAAAGTCCCATCTGTCTCTCAATCCTAGCACAAAACTTTTTAAGGATCTCTCCATCAAGCGAATTTTTTGGGGGGAGGTGGGGGGTGTTTCCACAATCTAGGAAAGGATTTCAGCTGCTGTGCTTCCCTTCTCCCCAGGAGGCTGAAAAGGCAAATGCAAACCTTGATTATGTGGAGCTTTGGTAGGAGGTTGCAATCTGCCAGAGTGAGCTCATCTCCATCCAGGAACTTGCGGCTGGAAGCAGTGATCTCCTCCGTGCTGTAAGCATCCATTTCATCAGGCAAGGGGCTATTTAAATAGTTGTCCAGCTTCTTCAGGGCTTTAAGCAAAGATTTTTCCAAATCTGGGTTAAGACAATAAAAAGATCATTGGAGCCAGTACCAAGGTCCCTGTGACACCAAGCGACTCCTGCATCCTGTCTCCTGGCACCAGCCCAGCCATCTGCCTGTGCCAGCTCCTGCAATTCCTTGATCCTAGGCTTAACCCTTAATAAGGGATAAGGGCTCTAAGGAGCTAAAGGGACTTCTGGGAAAAACCATCCTGGGGCTGTGCTACCAGGAATGGCTCCTCAAACCCCTCTGTGGGGTGGGGTTTGGCACCGTGGCCTGGCCCTGCCTTCACACCGACTCCTGCCCGGGAGCCACAGGGCCAATGCTTGCCCAAGGCAGGGCAGCAGAGCTGCAGTGACAACAGCAAGTCCCTGGGGTGCCACTTTGGGGTGTTCAAAGCCAGGAATGGCAGCAGAGCTGCAGTGACAACAGCAAGTCCCTGGGATGCCACTTTGGGCTGTTCAAAGCCAGGCTGCAGTGACAACAGCAAACCCCTGGGATGCCACTTTGGGGTGTTCAAAGCCAACCCAAGGAACAAGCCTGAGAGCTGAAGGACATAGACAGAATCCTGGAATGGTTTGGGTTGGAAAGGACCTCAAAGCCCACCCAGTGGCCATGGCAGGGCCACCTTCCACTGTCCCAGGCTGCTCCAAGCTGCATCCAGCCTGGCCTTGGACACTTCCAGGGATGGGGAGACCACAACCAACCTGTGCCAGGGCATCACCACCCTCACAGGAAAGGATTTCTCCCTAATATTTCATCTCACCCTGCCTTCCTCCAGCCATTCATGGTGGTCATGAGTGTCCTGCTTTAGGGACGTGCCAAGGGGCTGGAGTCCTCATTATTTATGGAAATAGGGAATCCCTCACTTCCAGAGGGCTGTGCTTTTGGCAGAGCTGTGCAGAAGGTGCAGCCTGGCAGATCCCAGGGCTGAAGGAGTGAGGAGAGGCTGGAATTGGTGCTGCCACGGTGACAGCACCATCTGCTTCCACCAACTCTTGGAATCCTCCATTAAAGGAGGGAACAGGCACAGATTTCCAAAGCCTCCACACTCTGGAATATCACTTTAACCTGAGCTGGAAATGGGACATCTCCAGCAGTGTCCTACAACTGCACAGGTCTGGTTTCTCCCTCCCAGGGCTGATGTCAGGACTGCAGCACCTACTTTCATTTGCATCTTTTCTCGGGTTCTTTATAAATGCAGAGAATTTTGCAAAGACATCATTTCCTGCGGAGTTCGACTCGGGGTGCTTCGGTGCAAGTCTGGGATACCTGAGAAGTTCAGAGAAACAAAAAGAAGTGACCCAATTATTCTTTATTTTTGTCTCCACTAATTAATACACATTTATTGGTATGGTGACCACATACAGCCACACAGGACTCAAAGGGAACCATCCTAAACTAAAAATCACTTATTTTAAACCCTGCATAAATAATCTTTTCCTGAAGGCAATGGGAAATGATGATTATTGCTTCAAGCATTGCTCAAACACCCCAGAGTGTCTTCCAGGCTTTCTCCTCCAGAGGTGAGGCTGTCTGGAATGTGGCTCCTGCCATGAGGAGGAGTGGAGGGATAATCCCCACTCTCAGGAGCTGCTGCTCCTCTCGGGCTCCTGGCCCAGCCCATTTGGCCATCAGCAAGCTGAGAGCAGCCATTCCAGGAGCTGGAGCTGCCAGGGATGGATAAAAATGGGAAAAAATGAAAGCAAGCAGCTGCTTCCCTGGTTTAAGTTGTTTGCCTGCTTGAGAAGGGAGCACAGGGAGAGGATTGATACCCAGAGGAGAAAAGGTCTCTGGGGTAGGGCACACAATGCTGGGACAACAGAGGGACAGAGGGGTTTGGGGTGAGGTAGGAAGGGCTGCTGGGGTGGGGGAGGACAAATCCAAACCTCAGACCCTCATGTGCAGCCTGGTGGACCCACGTGGACACTCCAAGAGCCCCAGCACTGAGGTGTTCAGTGCCCTCAGCTTCACACAATCCCAGGTTGGAAAACACCTTCACACCATCCACTCCCACCATTCCCACCCAAACCATGTCCCACATCCAGATGGCTGGAACACTTCCAGGGATGCTGATCCACCCTGGGCAACTCATTCCAATGCCTGAGCACTCTTGAAGGGAAAACATTTTCCCAGTCTCCAATCTGAACCTCCCTTGGCATAACCTGAGGCCATTTCCTCTCATCCCTTCACCTGGGACAGGGCAGAAAAGCCCGACCCCACCTCACTGCAGTGACCTTCAGGTGGTTTTAGAGAGCAGCGAGGTCACCCTGAGCTTCCCCTCCCTGCTCCCAGGGAGCACAATGATTTATTTGTGTGGTGTGGAGAGGGGAGCCTCAAGTGATGCCAAGTCAGAGCAGGGAACAGCATCATCCACAGGATGGATTCCGTGCCCTGAGAGTGACCCAGCAGTGAGCTCGGGATGAAGGACAGCAGTGGGAGCAGCACAGCCGCGACCTGGGGACAGCCTGGGGACACCGCAGTGAGACCCCAGCTCCAGCCCCAGTTCCAAAGCCACCCCTGAGCTGGAGCAGGCCCCAGGATCCCCCCGTGCAGCCCTGAGGGTCGGGAGTGCGGTACCGGGGCGGTGCCAACTTCTCCTCCAAGAATTCCTCGATCTTGTTGACATCGGTCTTCACTTCCCCATCGAAGGTCATGAACGGGGGGTTGGTGCCCGGGGCCAGGTTCTGCAGGTCTGCAGGTTTTCTGGGAAAGAAAAAGCCATTAAAAGTCCTTCTCCCTCCTTTTGATGAGGCACTGGAAGGGGCTTTAAGGTCTCCTCAGAACCGTTTCTTCTCCAGCCTGGACACACCCAGCTCTCCCAGCCCAGCAGAAAAGAGTCACCCTGTGTTGGAATCTGAGCTATTGATGGTTCCAAGATTGTAGAAAGTCTCTGTCTGTCAGCCCCGCTGCCAAAGCAGAAGCCATAATTGGTCTGTGCTTTTTCAAGGTTGTTTATTCTGTTTATCTCTAACATGTTCTGCTGCCCTGCCGCAGCTCTGTCCTGCAGGGCAGCGTGTGGGGCTCTGCCCTCAGTGGGATGGTACAAACATTAAATACCACAAACTACCTGTGCTGGATTTACAATAACGTGCCAATATCTGTCACCTACGTTGGACAGTGTGTCCCCAGCCTGAACCAACAGAAAAATGCCAACACCACAGTGAAACATGGAGGGCATGAAGAAGGAGAAAAAGGACAAGATACACCCAATTTCCTCCATCTTGTCCCCTTTGGACCCCTTATCTAGAATCCTAAAATTTTACTTTTGCACCCGTGCCACACTTAATTATTACTGATATCAAACACTCAGAGCTTGTAATTGATCCTGTAAGATTGAAAACTCTTTTCCATGGACAGAGATCACAGCCAGTGTCTCTGGGGGCTCTGTCCAGGGGGGTTCCTGACCCCTGCCAGGGTCCCAGACCTGCCAGGGCAGCCAGAGGGATGCCCTGGATTGCCACAACCCTTTTTAAAAAAAGTTTTGGGAAAGTTGTGCTACAAAGTTAAAATGTCAGGATTAAAAGCCACAATCTCACCTTTTCAGATCCACGGTTGTGACATTGAATATGACCCCTTTGAGCCACAGGATCATAAAGAGGCGCTGAGAGAAAGGGCAGTTCCCAATACTTTCCCCATCACTGCCAGCCTACAATTAGAAAAATTACAAATTATAAACATATCTGGGTGTAAATCACAGCAGTCCCTGCAAAGGAAACAGTCTCCACCTCATTTGTCTACATGGACATAAATCTGCACGAGTCACTGCAAGATTAAAATGAGTTAAATCAGTTTATGACCACAGGAAAGGAACAGAGAAATATTTACCAGCCTAAAAGATGTGATGTGTAAAGCACTGAAGGGAACAAGGAGAATAAATCAATTAATTAAGAATTTCAACCTAAAGGGTTCTGGGAGCCCTGGAGAAGATGGCCACAGAAGTGTTGCTCTCTGGTAATTTATATTGCAATTTGTAAAGAGACTTTGTTAAAATGAGGCAAAGTCTTGCAGAGGTGCTGCTGAGAGAGACTCGATGTAACTCTGTAAGAGATCAGGGATCTCATTTTTAAACCCTTCACGTGATTCTCCTAAAGCACAGCTTTAAAATTTAGATTCAATCTGGGGCAGAAGTATTAAAACCCAAGTGTCTCACAGTTAATAGGTTAATTCATTAAGGTTTGCAACCCTTACAACCCGAAAAGACACATGAATCAAACCAGTTCTGTTTGTCCCTTTCCCCTTGCACAGTGCTACCAAACAAATCTCAAATATAACAAAAACTCCTGTATAAACAAACACACACTGCACAGTGCTACCAAACAAATCTCAAATATAACAAAAACTCCTGCATAAACACACACTGCAGTGCTACCAAACAAATCTCAAATACAGCAAAAACTCCTGTATAAACACACACTGCACAGTGCTACCAAATAAATTTCAAATATAACAAAAACTCCTGTATAAACAAACACAACTGTACAGTGCTACCAAACAAATCTCAAATACAGCAAAAACTCCTGTATAAACAAACACACACTGCACAGTGCTACCAAACAAATCTCAAATACAGCAAAAACTCCTGTATAAACAAACACACACTGCACAGTGCTCCCAAACAAATCTCAAATATAAACAAACACACACTGCACAGTGCTACCAAACAAATCTCAAATACAGCAAAACTCCTGCATAAACAAACACAACTGCACAGTGCTACCAAACAAATCTCAAATATAAACAAACACACACTGCACAGTGCTACCAAATAAATCTCAAATATAACAAAAGCTCCTGCATAAACAAACACAACTGTACAGTGCTACCAAACAAATCTCAAATATAACAAAAAACTCCTGTATAAACAAACACACACTGCACAGTGCTACCAAACAAATCTGAAATACAGCAAAAACTCCTGTATAAACAAACACAACTGCACAGTGCTACCAAACAAATCTCAAATAAAAACAAACACACACTGCACAGTGCTACCAAACAAATCTCAAATACAGCAAAAACTCCTGCATAAACTAGCACAACTGCACAGTGCTACCAAACAAATCTCAAATATAACAAAAACTCCTGTATAAACAAACACAACTGCACAGTGCTACCAAACAAATCTCAAATATAGCAAAAACTTCTGTATAAACAAACACAAATGCTCAGTGCTACCAAACAAATCTCAAATATAACAAAAACTCCTGCATAAACAAACACACCAAACAAATCTCAAATACAGCAAAAACTCCTGTATAAACACACACTGCACAGTGCTACCAAACAAATCTCAAATACAGCAAAAACTCCTGTATAAACAAACACACACTGCACAGTGCTACCAAACAAATCTCAAATATAAACAAACACACACTGCACAGTGCTACCAAACAAATCTCAAATATAACAAAAACTGCATAAACAAACACAACTGCACAGTGCTACCAAACAAATCTCAAATATAACAAAAACTCCTGCATAAACAAACACAACTGTACAGTGCTACCAAACAAATCTCAAATATAACAAAACACACACTGCACAGTGCTACCAAACAAATATCAAATATAGCAAAAACCCCTGTATAAACAAACACAACTGTACAGTGCTACCAAACAAATCTCAAATATAAACAAACACACTGCACAGTGCTACCAAACAAATCTCAAATATAACAAAAACTGTATAAACAAACACAACTGTACAGTGCTCACCTTCACAAAGAGCTCGATGGCTGGAAAAAAGGGCCTGGCCTGGGGCAGGCAGGAGCTCGAGGGATGCATGGCAAGGGCTGGATAAATTCTCTGGTTCTCCCTCTGAACCCGAGGAACCTCCCTGGACAAACCCCCGTGCTCCAGGACTGCCAGGAGATGAGAACTCTCAAAAATGCTGGGCCAGCTGGGCTTAGTAAAGCCTTGTTTCTGTCAGAAAAGCCTTGTTTTGTAGGTGGCAAAGCTGAGAGCTGCTCAAAAGCTGCCATTGTGGCTTTCCTCCCACTCAGAGCAGCGCTCTGTGGCACCGGGCAGCTGCCAGGAGACACAAAACCTGCTGTGGATCTTGGAAAATTGAGCCTGAAACGCCTTTAGAATGGAGGCTTCAGCTCCAGCTGGTCTCATCCTACCTCTGGTGCCAGGTGTTACCCACCCCAAAGGGAAAAATGATGGGAATGGGCACCCCCAATGTAGTTTCCCCCTCACACAGCCCCCAAATAACTCAACTAGCTCAGAGATAAGGGGCTGTGAGGGGAGGAATATCAGGAGAGGGGAAAAATATTCAAAAGAGGCTCTCACCCCAGAAGAAGTTGGTACAGCTCTCTTTATTCTGTGGTGTCCATGGAGAGCGGGGAAAAAGAGGAAGAATAGGAAATGTCAGGGGTCTATATAGGTTTTGGACTGGGTGGGCTTTCCTGGCTCTCCACAACCCCGTTGGGGCAGGTCTTCCCGAGGATTGAGACAGAGTGGAAATGTCACAGGGTAGAAATCCACTTGGATTTAGGTGATGTGTGCTGCTTTGAGCTTGGTAACATAAATAAAATAATGCTGTTTGTCTGGTAACTCTGCAGCACTAACAAAACTGCCCCAGCTGAGGAGAAAGAACGTGAATTTCCAAGCTGAAGAGATAAGAAAGACTCCTCAAACCTTGAAAGGAACAGCACAGAGTGACCCAGGAGCTCTTTCTGTATTTCTGACAAAAACTGAGTACAAGTGTAACCAGCTGTAAATGTAAAGTGAAATCAGAATGAAACTCTATACATATGGAAATTAGTAAAGGGTAATAAAAAAGGATCAGGAGCTCTCAGGGGCACACATGTGCTTTGAAGGGGAATGATTCCCACACGCGTCCAGCGCTGTAATAAACACACCGTCCCTACAAATCCTTACGGGAATTGTGGGGTTTTGGTTTTTCCTCTTGTTCAGGATGCAGGGAGATGTTTGTCATCAGAATTCTGATGTGGTGGCAGCAGCTCGGGGACAGAGGGAGGGACAGGGAGAGGCCCCGGGGCTCAGTGACACCTGCAGGGCGAGAGCTGTGCTGGGAGAATCCCGGGGGATTTTGGGGATACCAGCACAGGAGTTGGGGCTGATCCCAGAATATGAGGCAGGAAAAACATTTCAGCACCATCCAGTGTGGCAAGCACATTTCTCTCTCTCGGGATTTTTTCATGGAGCAGCACAGAGAGAAGAAAGAGAAAACAATTTCTATTTCTGCTCCTTGATTTCCCACGTGGAATGTGTTTGGAGAATTGTTTCCCTGGGGTGTTGCTTGGTTGGATTCTGGTGAGGATTGTTTGAGCTGATGGCCAATCCAACCCACCTGGGCTGGGCTCTCAGAGAGGGTCAGGAGTTGGGAGCGAGTTAGATATGGCAGTTAAAAAAAGTGGGTATATAGTTTTAGTATCTCCTATAAATAGTATATTAATGTATTATAGTATAGTTATAATAAAGAAATCATTCATCCTTCTGAGCTGGAGTCACACATCAGCATTTCAGCATTTACAACAATCCAGCCCCACCAGCATCACCCCAACCCTGTCCCCAAGGCCACATCCAGACTCCTCTGGGACAATTCCAGTGACCCCAAACCTCCCTGGGCAGCTCATCCCAAGGCCTGACCACTTCTATAGGATAAATTTTTATTTTTGCTTTATATATATATAAAAGTATAAAGTTTATATATATATATATATATATATAAAGTATATGTATAAAAGTATAAAGTATATATATAAAAGTATAAAGTATATATATATAAAAGTATAAAGTGTATATATATAAAATAAATAAATGTCTAAATTTATATGAATTATTTTTATATAATTTCTATAAATTATTATATAAGTTGTCTATTATTTATATAATTTATATAGATTATAGAAAAATATATCTTTAAATATAAATATAAATTTTACAGAACCCTTTTGATGCCACCTACTGGGCTTGAAATGTTGCACCTGAGATGCTGAAATTGTAATTCCAGGCTGAATTTTAAGATACAGCAGCTGCAATTAAAAATACATTTTTCAGGGAGAAAATCCCAATTTTGCCACTTATTATTCCAAAGCTTTTGAACTTATTATTCCAGAGCTCTGCCTGCCCACCAATACCCAATATATCTAAAATCAGCCAATTTCTCAAACAAATAGCAGAAAAAATCCCCATGTTTAAAATGTGACTGGTGATTTCTGCAGATAAATTGTATTTTTGGCACTTCCAGACTTGACTCTTGCTGTGTGTGACATCCCCAAAGGGAAATTCAAAAAAAGGAGATGTGAAAACAGCAGCTGGACACTCCTTTAGGTTAAAAAAAAAATTTAAAAAAAGGGAAAAAGGGATTTTTCCTTCATTTTTTTCACTTAATAAGCACTTTCCATTATCCCAGGATGCTCCAATACAGTTATTTTTATTTATAAGTTATTGTTTATAAGTTATTATTGTTTATAAGTTATTATTATTTATTTATTAGTTATAATTATTTATTTAAGTTGGCCTGGGCATTTCCAGGGGGAATTCCATTCCCTGTCCCAGGGAAGAGGAAAAGCCAAATTTTCCTTTCTCCTTCAGAGCAGCATCCAGGCACTGGGAACTCAGTGCTGAAGGAAAAATGGAATTAAAAATCTGCTCCTCGCCTAAAATCAAACAGAAAATC